GACCTTGCTCGCCACTACTTATAGCTACTCCGTACACTTGCGGATAGCGAAAATAATTAGCGAACAAGTTTTTGGCGTCGTTTCCGGGGATTGTTTGTTGAATTAATTAATATTAGAAGAAAACGAATAGATATTATTTAGACATTTTTTTTTTCTTTCTCTCTTTTCTGATATTTTCTTATTTTTCATTCTTTTTTGCGAGATGACGTTTTATAGCTACCAATGACCGGTGGAGCAGACGATGTTTAATGGAGTGGCGGCGACCACCGAATCGGACTCGATGATTGCGTTGAGGGCACAACTAGCCTCATTTGTGAAGTAGGTGGACTCTATGGTGAAGAACGAGAATGTTGGGGTGAATGCGGTGTCAATGTATGAACCCGTCCAGAATGTGAATTATTTGCATGACCGAAATTTCGACAATTTCTGGGGATATCAAGGAGGTAACACGTACTATTCGGGCAACCAAAATTATTCTAATTTCTCGTACTCCAATTCATACAACGCTCTACAACCGCCAATGCGATTTTCTTTGACTAATGGGGTCAACAATGAGCCGAAGAAGCCGACAAGTGAAGATACACTCACCTCATTCATGAGTACCACGCAAACTTTTATGACTCAGTCGCAAAAATTCATGGACGACACTGATGTTAAGTTCTCTGCGATGAGAATCACATGAAGTCGATGGAGCAACACATTGGGCAAATGATTGCGATAGTCGAGAGTCAACAGCAAGAGTGCCACTTTCCGAATCATAGGAGATCACCCCAGAGGATTGCAAAGTCGTAGATGCCCAAGAGACGAGAGATGACGTTCTGACTGAGGTGAAAAGAGTGCATCAACAAGAGGAGAAGTGGCCAAGGGTCAAGAGTATTGTGGTTGATTCAGACGAGAAAATGGAGAGGCTAGTTGAGGCTCATGAGGTGGTTGAACTAACGGAGGAGAGTAGTGCAATACTTCAAAGAGACCGTCCCGTTAAGTGCGAAGATCCTGGTGGTTATTATATCGATTGTGCAGTTGGAGAAATATATACCGGGAAAGGACTATGCGACTTAGGAGCGGGCGTCAACTTGATGCCACTCTCTGTTTTCGAGAAGTTGAGATTAGACAAGCTTCAACCAACTATGATCACTCTTCAGATGGCAGATAAATCCCAAGATCGTCCTACGAGAATTGTAGAGGATGTTTGGTTGACGGTCAATGGAATTAAGTTTCCGGCGGATTTTGTGGTGGTAGACATGAAGGATAACGGTGATATACTGTTGATTTTAGGAAGGCCATTCCTAGCCACCGGACGGATACTTATTGACATGGAGCTTGGTGAGATCACGTTTCAAGCCTATGATGAATATCGAACTTTTACACTTGCTCGTGGTTGGAAAATTCAAGAGCCAAAAGACGGTAGCCGACGCCATGAGAAGATCAAGGAGGAGATTGGGATGAATGGGAATGACCCTTATTGAGAGCTCGGAAGACGTCTAGCTATAGACGTTAAATTAAGCGCTTGTTGGGAGGCACCCCATCGTTTATCGTTTTCATTTGATTTTTCTTTATTTTTTTTTTTTTTGCTTTTTTAAATCTGGAAATAGAGAAAAAAATATGAGAAAAAAAATCATTAAAAAAATGGTGGTGATCGAGTGTTCGAGCGAAGCATGGAGGAGATGATCGTGCTCAAGGGTGCAAGGATTGCTTACGATGGAGCTTGCTCGACTTTTAGGTTAGTTACTTGAGATATGCCATTTATTTTCTCCATACTTAATTCTTTTCCAAAGAATAAGTTTAGGGGAGAGAGGTGTCGTATATCTTGAGTTTTTATCGCTTATTGCATATCATATAGTTGCTTGCATTAATTTTTATTTTTATTTTTTTTAGGTTATTTTGTTTTTTAGGATGCACGTTTATTTGCTTTATTAGATTAGTAATAAGTTGGTTGAGTCGAGTATTTTTGCTTTGTCTTGTGTGTTTTGGATGATTGGTGGATAGACGAGAATTGTTTAGAGTTGTTTATCTTAATTAAGATGTTGTGAAGGTGATAATGAATTATATGCCTTGATCAATAACTTTATTGCTTTGAATTAATGATTTATTTGCCTTGGAGAGGATTTGAGCCTTATTTTATTTCTTGTGTGATTAGTCGAATACTTGGGATACTAGAACTTGCATTGGTTCTTACTTTAAAAATATGATTATGTACGTGAAAATTTGAAAATGATTTAGGCGGTTTTTGTTATCTAGCCTGTTTTATCCTATTTTATTTTTCCTAAAATTTTATCCCTAGTAGCCCGTTTGAACCTTGAGTCTTTTATTTGATAGCCCTTGAGTGATTATTATATTATTTAGAGATGTTGGGGTTGAATGAAGCTTTAAGTGATGATGAACTACGGTGACTTTTTTTTGTTTTGGGAATAATGAGTATGAGAATATGGGCTATGATTTGTATATTTAATTTGAGGCATTTGATGAAAAAAAAAAAAGAGAAAAAGAGAATAATAAAGAGAGCTCGCAAGGTGANAAAAAAAAGTTGAAAAAAGATCAAGTGCCGAGGTTTGCATATATGGTATTGTGCTTTATAGAATTGTGTATGTATGTTTGTCTTGGGATATAATTGGAGATAGACGATGGTGATTTTTCATTGATGTTCGATTTTTTTTAGTCACTTGGCCTATATTTTCCTACCTTGTCCAAAGAGCCTACATTACAACCCAAAAGTTCTTTTGATTCTTAGCTCACGTACATTAATTGTATTTAGTAAAGTGTAGAAGATTTACAAGTTTATGATTGACTTTGTGTTTCGAACTAACTTGAGCGTACCCTTTCAATTTTTGATGATATTCCACAAGATATTCGAGTGAGGCACATATATATTTGACCTTATTTGAGAGTTCATTAATTCAAAGATTTATCAAGTTAAGAGTTGCGGCATATATATTTAAGATTATTTGAATTTATCTTGATTATTTAAGTGACTTGATGCTTTTCTTGTTTAAAATCACTTTTCACGCACGTGGTTTGTTTTTGCTTTGTCATTGTTCGGGGACAAACAAGGGTTAAGTTTGGGGATCGACATTCGTCATTTTTACGTGCATTTTACAGTGATTTTTCGTGCTTGTTTCGTCGTAGTTTGATATATAATTATTTATTTATTTAATTATTTTTATTAAACTATGACGAGGTGTATTCTTGTGAGTTTTAATAGGAAATTGAGTCTGAATAGTTATTGGAGGCCAGAATGACGAGAATCAGTTCAACACGTGCCAGTTTGATAATTTGCTTCTTGGTCCACGAAAATACAAGACAAATTGGGTTGGTCATGCAATCAAGGAGTCAAGGCTTTCATTAAGCCCAATTCATAAGGCTGCACATATTTTGGGGTTTGGGCTGGCCCAAGAAGAAACTAATGATAACTACAAGTGGAGCTGGCCCAAAGGATATTTAAATAAGGGCAAATGGTCCGCAGGCAACTAATCATATTCTTCCTTGCCGTCGGGCTGAGCGAGAGCTGCCGGAATACAACCGGAATCCGCCATGAGAGACACCTGGACGCCACCTAGAGCCAACTGGGATGCCTGAGAACGAATCAAGAGCCGAAACCCGCCACGAGCAGCAACAAAGATGGAGTTTCAGGCGTCCCAGGAACATACGACTCGTGTGACGTCAAACACGAGTCGTGTCGCGCAGAACGGGTCCGAAACGAGCTACGGAAATTTCACACGAGTCGTGTGACCCTGGGCGCGACTTGTACGGATTTTACGCATTTTTCCTATTTTTAGGGATTTTTTGACCTATTTCGACTAGGACTCGATTCCAACTATTTAAGAGACATTAGGGCATGTTTTTTAGGAGTCTTGGACATATTTTTCAGATCTTTGGAGACTTTTGAAGGCTAGAAACATGAGTAAGACGAGGGAGAAAGCCGGGAAGAAAGAATCGACGGAGCCGAATAAGTTTTTTCTTTCTTTTTCTTTTCCTCTTTCGAACTCAAATTTTTTATATTTATTTCCCTATTTTGAAATCATGTTTTTAGGCTAGATTTATCTTAGATTCTAGGATTTGTTAGTAGTCGGATTGATTTATGATTTAGTTTTTATTCTTTCATTCCGGTTTATCTTTCCTTTATAAATTTCTTGTGTTTATTATTATTGTGTCAGTAGATGGCCACTATGAATGCATATTTGTGATCGATTTGAAACCGAGAGGAGATAATTGATTGCTAAAATTGGAAAATTAATAACGTAAGAGAATAAACAGACCCAGAGGTTGATATGACCTTACGAGAGAACGAAAATCCTAGGAACTTATGGGAGTTAGTTGTTTATCTTGATACCGAGAGGAGATAGATTACAATTAATATCTACGATTTAATTTGTTCGAGAGAAAGGTTTGAAATCAATTTATTGATTATCTCTACGATTGGTAAAATTAAATAAGGTTTGTTTGAATATAAACGTTTCATGAATTAATTCCGAGGAACGCTTAGCTTAGAATCTATCGTTTGTATCTTGTGTTTTTTTATTTCTTAGATAATCATCATCCAAATTCGGTAGTCTAAATAATATTTAATCGTCACTATTTTAATATTTAATTAATTTAACTATAATTTCTGTGGAATACGACATTGCTCGCCACTACCTATAGCTACTTCGTACACTTGCTGATAGCGAAAATAATTAGCGAACATTACGCCCGCTCTTTGGCGGGCCTCTAAGCGAGGCAGGGTGGGGCGGACCGGCCCGCGGATTCTGGCGCGTTTTGACAAGCCTATTAGTGATCGCTAATTCATATCGGCCGAAAATATGTTCAGACAATTCCTAATGTGACCTGGTCATTTTGAATAAAATGGCCGTTCAAATAAGTAAAGAAAATCTAGAACATTGGAGAGTAGTGCAACTTTTCCACATCCACTGAGACATATTTGTCTTCCAAGTTAAAGGGGAACATTCCACCCCAATTCGCACGCTTTGCATATACCATCAGACTAATTTCTCCGTCTACCCCAACTCAAAACTATCGGCCATCTCTCTCCATCTCCTCAAAATATAAAATAAAAGTCTAAAAAACAAAGTCAATGCCCCTTTATTATTAAAATTGCTGACAGATAGAATGACGTATAGGCAATAATTTTAAGGAAATAAGAATAGTTCTTTTGAGCGAGCATTGACTGTGTGTGATTGAAGAGATGTGTAAACTTTTGGTCAATTACACATCCATATTCTACGCGTCGAAGGAAGAATATATATAGAGAGTAGATAGAGACTCGTCACTCGCAGCATCACTGCAAAGAAAGCAAAATAAGAAGAATGGAATTAGAGGGTCAATCAATCCTAGTCGTCTATATTCCGCTCCTATTCGCCCTTTACATCTTCACCACCCAATTTATCCGCAAACTGAGAAATCTCCCTCCATCCCCAATTCTCGACCTACCCTTCATCGGTCACCTCTACCTCCTCAAAAAGCCCCTTTACCGATCCTTAGCTCAAATCTCCCACCGCTATGGCCCCGTCACCCTCCTCAACTTCGGCTCCCGCCCCGTTCTCGTCGTCTCTTCCCCCTCCGCCGCCGAGGACTGCCTCTCCAGAAACGATGTCGTCTTCGCCAACCGTCCCCGCCTGCTCGCCGGCAAACACCTCGGCTACAACTACACCTCTCTCGTCTGGTCCTCCTACGGCGACCACTGGCGGAACCTGCGCAGGATTTCCTCGATCGAGATCCTCTCCGGCCACAAGCTCCAGTCGCTTCACGAGATCCGGGTCGACGAGCTCAGATCCACGATCCGGGCCCTGAGCGCTCGGGCCCCTGGATCGGCGGTCGACATGAAGACCGCCTTCTTCGAGCTGACCATGAACGTGGTGATGAGGATGATCGCCGGGAAGAGATACTATGGGGAGAACGTGGAGGACGCCGAGGAGGCGCGGCAGTTCAGGGAGATCGCGAAGGAGTCGCTGAGGGTGTCGACGTCGAGCACGGGGGATTTTCTGCCGGTGGTGCGGTGGCTGGGGTTGGGCGGCGGCGAGAAGGAGATGATTGAGTTGCAGGCAAAGAGGGACGGTTTTATGCAGGGATTGGTGGAAGAAGGGAGGAGAAGGTCCGCCGGCGGTGGGAAGCCCAAAACTATGATTGAGATGCTGTTGGCGTTGCAGGAATCGGAGCCCCAATATTATACAGATGCTATGATTAGAAGCTTAATGCTGGTAAATTCGCTAATTTGACCCTTTTTTAAACTAATTTCATTATCACAGTATTTCATGATTTTTTTTTATTTTTAAAATTATGAAATCAATTGTTAGATAATTTAAAGTTATATATAAGATAAAAAATAATTATCATAAATATAGTTTACGCATATTCAAGATATATATTTATATTTGTGCTTTTATTCATGTTAATAAAATCGTTTGAAGTACAGAAAATGGTATAAATAAAAATTGCAGACTTCAAAAACGAAAATGTACTGGTTTTTTGTCAGTTCGACTTCTGATGTTCTGGATCGGACGGGTCCATGTGAAGTAATTGACAAGAAAGGTAGAAAAGATTTAGATAATGTGAATAGAAGGAGAAGTCGCTTTGCAGTCTAATTTGACATATTCCAATTATTAATTTGAGAGCGGGTGAGAGAACATGTGGAAACTGAATCGGATAATCTTTAAGGTTAAATGTGGTGCACTTTTATACCCAACAAGCGGTAAACTTTAAGACTTTTTGGTTGTTGGACAAATCCGTAATCTTACCAGAAAGAAAAAAAATATATATTTGGAGTTGGATAGTTTATATTCNTAAGTCATTTTGAAATATAATTTAGTAATTTAAGAAAGGCCTAAATGCCATCATTTTTGTTCCTCTTATTTTATAAAGAGTTAATTATGGATTATCTTCTTATATATAAAGATAGAGTTTTTCATGGTCAACTTATACTGCTTTGTAATTCTATATGTTATTTTTTTAGGATCCGAGATAATCTATATAAATATTGATCTTTATCCAAAACTTTCAATTTTAAACACTTGACTAACTTAAATTGTAACTATATTTTAAACGTTAATAAAACTCAGGTATGTTATCATTTTTTATATATGATAAATTAAATTAGTCATTTTTGACAATCTATAATTTGACATTCATATTGTATGTATAAATTAATATAATTTTACCTGTCTGATCTCTATCCATAATAACTTAATATTATCAATTATAATCGAAAAACAATAAATTTATCTATCAAGCTTATTATATAGTCTAAGTACTAAAAATATTGTAACATAATACTGTCGAGTCTGACAAATGATGTGTATCATTTTAAATTAACATAATAATGTTATTTGGTAAAAATTATTTAAAATTTTAAAATAAAAACTTGTATTTATATCTTTATAAATATTAAATATAAATTTTTAATTAACACATATTTACTATATGAATTGTAGAGTTAGCACAAAAAATCCAGCCTAGGCATTGCCTAGACTGGACCATATGTAGATCCGCCATTGCTTCTGATATTTATCTACTAATTATGGTACTCTTCCATAAATTTAAAACATCTTAATAGAGCTACAAACTATGGATACAGCCTATTAAATAAACCAAATGCAGTTTGACTAAAAGAAATTTTATTCATATGCTATATTCTCACAATACAATCAAAAGAACAAACAGATATTACATATTTTGAGGTCCCTAAGCATACAAGAATGCTAACTAATACTATCTGTAAACATTAACTAAGTTGCATTCTGATCTGAGTTCCATCAATTAATTCAGTTCATCACCATAATGAGACACTACAAGAAAAGGTTTCGGATATCTTTGTTTGAGTCCTCACAATTTTGATGTCTTCATCCACTGTCTACACCAACACCAACCAAGCCCATCAAATCTGACTTACCAAACCTAGTTCCTAGTACTAACAGTAATCCGGACAATCGGCTTCTTTTCCTCAATTATTTTGGTTGAGTTATTAATGGCTATGGAGAATGGTATTGGTGATGAATCCAGGTTTCAATAACCTCTAAGCAACTAGTGTGATGTACATGGAGTTTCCTATACTATACTATGTTTAAGAATTAGGACCTAGCCCAAATTGCATCCCATAGATCAGTGTTTAGCTTTTGTTCCTCGCTGTCCGAGAACTGCACGTCCTTCTTTTGGTCCACATTGTAGTCCTTCTCGAGGGTCCCTATCTTGTTGTAATGCAGATGCCAAATCAAAAACCGGCAAAAGATGATTATCATAATATATCATATTTGAAACATAAAATACAAATAAAAATTTATTATAGTAATAAATAAATTACATAGAGAGAAAAAGAGATATTTGTTTTTTATATTTATGGAAATGAAAGGTAAAATAGTCATGGTAATTATTGAGTGCAAACCTAAGACAACAGAGATGTGTCAATAAAAGTACAGATAATGAAATATAAGTTTACGAATGGTGAGATCCTTCCATTTTGGCTCTTATATGTTTTGAGTTAATACATTGGGGGAATAATCCCCCTTTTACTTTCAAATGTCATTTTATTCCCCCTTTTGCTTTCAAAAATCATTTAGTTTTGATGATTTGTTGTTTATTATTTTCATTTTGGACAGTTCTTCCATTGTATGGTATATGAGATATTGTAGTACGGTAAGAGAAAAAATAGAGTGTAAGTAAATTTAAAATGTTGAAACATGGAAAAAGAGAGAATAATCGTTAGAAAACTAATATCTAAATATGTATGAATTTTTTTCATGTTTTTTTTTCTAGAACAACATTTAATAATAAACATGGTAGTAATTTTTAGAACATTTGGCAATACATGGACTTGTTTCATGTTTTTTCTTGTTCTATATTATATAAATTATTTTAAGTCCATTGCAAATGGAGCTGGAAGAGTCATTGTTGACAATTCTCCTGGCATAATGCTAATAATGGACTAGATCAAAATGACTCAATTAAACTCTAGTGTTTCTTCTATTAGTGAAGTTTCTAGAAAAAAAAAAAAATATATCAAACGGCGCAATGCACCTTGGGTCGCTACGGAAACAGCCTCCTTCTATAATTACAAGGGTAAGGTCTGCGTACAACTGACCCCCCAGACTCCAACCTGTTGGAAATATATTGGGTATGTTGTTGTTGTTGTTGTAGTATATTATATAAATTATTTTCATTAAAATAGCATTAATTAATCACATAACAAAAGATAAAAATATGGCCATGCACATATTTTTATTTGATTCAATTTTTGGGGTATGTGCTAAAAGTTAATGCTTGCTTTGTCCTATGAACATATATATATAGCGAGAGAGAGAGAGATATGACATTTAATGTATATATTGTTTGGTGAGTTTTGATTTGCAATATATATACATGTGTGTGTGGCAGAATCTGTTAATAGCCGGTACAGACACATCAGCCGGGACACTAGAGTGGGCACTGTCCCTCCTCCTCAACCACCCGCACGCCCTGAAGAAGGCCCAAGCCGAAATCGACGCCCAAGTCGGTAACGAGCGTTTAATCGAGGAGGCAGACATGAGCAACCTCCCTTACCTACGCTGCATTATCAACGAAACCCTACGCATGTACCCTGCAGGCCCACTTCTCATCCCTCACCAGTCCTCCCACCCATGCGCTGTCGGGGGCCACCATGTCCCCGCAGGCACCATGCTTCTTGTCAACGTGTGGGCCATACACAACGACCCCGCCAACTGGGACGAGCCCAGAGAGTTCAGGCCCGAGAGGTTCGAGGGGGTGGACGGGTACAGAGATGGGTTCAGGTTCATGCCGTTTGGCTCCGGGAGGAGGGGCTGCCCAGGGGAGAACCTGGCCGTGCGTGTGGTGGGCTCTGCTCTGGGGGCTCTCGTTCAGTGCTTCGATTGGGAAAGGGTTGGGAAGGAGCTGGTGGATATGGATGAAGGTATTGGGTTGTCGATGCCCAAGGCCAACCCCTTGATGGCTTGTTGCAAACCTCGCTCTGTGGTAGCCAACCTTCTGTCTCAGATATCATGATCAATTCATTCAGCAGCAATGGAGATAAACAATTGATGTTGTATCATATAATAATAATAATAATAATAATAATAATAATAATAATAATAAGAATAATAATAATTATAATAATAATAATAATATTGCATTATCAATTGGGTTTACTGATCATTAAATTAGCTTCACAATTGTCTCCATTTTTTGTATGGATGATTCTGCTTTTGTATTTCTATGTGTCTATAAATGTATTATGCTCTCGATAAATATCATGCTACACTTCTAATTTCACCACTGCTGTGCAGGCCTCGTATATGTGCAGCCCACTTCTCTCAATTTTTGTTACCTTTTATAGTTATTTTATAAGTTCGTATTTCTATATATAAATATATATATATATATGTGTGTCCAATGGTTCAAGATCATTTTTTCTATGATATTTTCAAAAAAATATTATACAATTTAACTATTTTGTTAATTTATAAAATCATATATATAGATAGCAATATTCATTTTATTATTTATAATTTCCCTTATGAGTTATATATGTAATGTCTTCTTAGTTCAACAATCGTTATATACTATATACTATATATATATATAGTATATGTAATAATTGTTAAAGGAAGATCAAGTGGCCAATGGGTACAATGCAAAATCTACATGCTAATGAGTGATCAACTTACCAATATAACGGATTTTCTTTCACAATTGTTTCTAACCGTAATTTATCTGCAATAACACTACTTTACTTATTTTAGACACTATTAATTTATGACACATTTATTTAAAACTAGTACAAAGGCCGTGCGATGTACGGGGTACACAAATTTAAGGCTATTTATCTAGGTTTATAATTATATACATGAATACAAAAAAATGTACGGGATATATATAATACGTGACCCGTGCGAGCCACAAGATATATTTATTCGGGGAATATTATATTATAAGATGCAATATTCAATAAAAGTTTTATAATACGCAAGAAAATTGTACAATAAGATAGTATTCGACAAAGAAACAATCATATATTATTAAAGACCTTCTTGTACACAACATTATGAGTTTGATTATTGGGCAACTCGTCATTCTTACAAACTAATATATTCAACCCCCTTCTATTAGTTACACGCGAAACAACACCATATAATTGCCCATGACTAAAGACAGGTTTCTTTAGAAAAAGACTAATGTGCGATAAAGATTGTCCATGACTCTTGTTTATGGTCATGGCATACGAAACCATAAGTGGGAATTGCCGCCGCTGGAACTTAAATGGAACCCTAAGATCAGAAGGAGTAATATTTATTCTAAGAATCAACACTTTTTCGCCAGCATGATCGCCCGTCAATATCTTGCATTCAAGCACATGAGCGGATAGTTTGGTCACAACCAACCGTGTACCATTGCAGAGTCCCATAAAATGATCCATATTCTGCAACAATATGACTGGAGTTTCTATTTTTAAATGCAACTCATGGTTCGGTGTTCCCAAACACTTGATGCTATTCAAGAACTCAGGCGTGTGGAGATCTTCCAATAAGTCGTTGCTGGAATCAGACTTAGATGCACTGAAAGAACTCAAATACGTGCGACCGTCAACTGAATTCATCTCCGACATGAACTGATTGATAGACTCAACGACCTCTAACGTTGGCGCTAAAATAGCCATATCCTTCAAATAACTTGGATCTTCAGTTGAATTCTTAAACATTGGATAGGTACTTTCCACAATTGTAGCAATTGGATCATCGGAGGGATCAAGTCTAATATCATCTGGTATATCAATAAAGGCACAATCGTCATTTGATCTTCCTAAAGTACCATCTCGATGCTAGCAATCCAATCAGCAAAGGCTGCTACCTCGCCACTCTCGTCCGAGTCAGAAATACTTTGAAGACGCATATTTTTTGTAAGTCAAAGCACAGTACAGTCCTTCCAAATGGTAGAAGCATTAATAGTTGCATTAACAATGTCTTGGCGACTGCCCTTTGGAATGACTGAAAGGATCTGTCGGAAGTCTCCACCAAACACAATAGGCTTGCCTCTGAAGGGCTTGGTATTGTTAGAAGGCCTGCAGTGATGTTTGAACAGCTTCAAAGCAATGTTTGTTCATCATTGGAGCCTCGTCCCATATGATGAGAGAGCATCGTATTATTAATTCTGTAAGAGGACTTGCCTGGTTGATATCACATGAAGAATTTTCATGAACATTCAACGGAATGCAAAATCGAGAATGTGCAGTTCTTCCACCAGGCAACAAAAGCGATGCTATTCCACTCGACGCCACATAAAGAAAAATTTGACCTTTGGATCATAAAGCAACAGATAACGTCCTCCACAAGTACGTTTTTCCAGTCCCACCATAACCGTATACAAAGAATACGCCACCGGTACCCGATTCCATAACAACCATAATTTTTTAATAGATCCCTTTATGTTCGTCAGTCATTCTTTGAAGAAGGGTTGCGTGCTCCAAAGCTAGTGCCTTTCTATCGTAATTCAGCTCATCCAATATAAGGCGGTTTGATGTTGTATGAAGACTATCTCTGTCTGGATAAGGCATGGAAGAATATTCACGAAGACTTGATCTACATCTTCGCAACATATTTTCAATTTCAGCAAGGGTCAGATTCTTTATAACATCATCACTGAGACGCAAATCTATACATTAGCAAATTCAATAGATATTGTAAGGATGCAAATTAAATAATGCATAATATTAAAGAATAACAAATATATAAAAGAAATCACAGATTAATACGAAAAATGTATAAAAAAGAAATGAAAAAATACCATTGTTATTGAACAATCACCGCTGTCCGTAGAGAATGTCATCTGATAACAATTGGCAACACCATTCCCAAACATCATCAGGGCGACCCAAAGACCCAGAAACCAACAATGACGCAAACATACGTCTAAGAGACTCCGCAAATGCCCAACGACTCGCTTCGGTTATACCGTCTATATACTCTTTATCATCGTCCAACAATCCTCGTTCAGAGCAAGCAAGCATCTCTATAAGTCAGATATTGGACGTCGTTGACTTTCATGTAGTCCTCATGGCATGTAGAACCTGTAACAACAGGTAGCAGACATCTCAAATAGTAATTATCGCCACAACCAGGATTAAAGTGGTTTAGGCAGCCTATGGTACCATCTTTTATTCGAGGCTTCCACACTCTTTTTTTCGTATTCCAAACAAATTCGAGGGTGCTTCTACATAAGTAATCTCTCTTGCCTTTGGGTACTTCTTATTATCCTCCATCCACGCTAGAAATTGGCTCTCATTAACACTTGGTTTATTCAATACATCCTCTATATCGTCATCATCTTCGAAGACAATGTTCTGCTGATCTTTAAGGTGGAAACTCAAGAGTTGTACTGCTGGCCTCTTGTACTGCAACTCAAAACCATGTAACCACCATGCCGCCTCACATGAAGATAGATATCGACAATCATAGTACATGTTTATCTCGTCGAGAGGCTTTTCAATATCTCTTTCTGCAGAATTCTGATAAAATAAGGCGGTGACATGATCATTTCCTTTGTTAACATACTTGAATAAGTATTTTATGGATCGTGATTGATTGCACCACTTAACGTTGAGATGAGCTCCATATTTCATCAGCAAACGACGGTTGTGAGGAACAACATAACCGTTATTGAGGACGATGCCATTCTTTCAACATGTTTACCGTCGTCTCGACGCTTGTAGCGTGGATATCCATACTCATCTACGCAAGTGGATTCGACAAACTTTTTTGAAAATAGTTTGCTGCATTTGCCGTTTATCATGCACGGTGAGTTTGGTCGTGCAACATGTTTGCCCTATTTTTGTTGCATTTTTCGTGCTTGTTTTGCTTTTCTATATCCCCCGTTTTAGATTGTTTTCTTCGTTTTTAGTTTGTTTCGTGTTTTATTATGTGTTTTTCTTTATTTTGAGTCTTTAGGTGTTTTTTCATTTGTTTTTCCGGTTTTCTTCGTGTTTTGTCATTTTTGGTGTGTAGGTCGGAAGCTTCGGGCGAATTTTATCTTCAAGAAAAGTTGATTTCGAGAGCAAAATTGGATAGATGGGTTCGTTAGTGACGCGTAGCAAAAAACGGAACTCAATTCCGAGTTCGGATGAGCCCAAACGAGCCCGAAACGTAAAATGGCGCAGTGCAGTCCAAAGTCGCGACTCGCGAGACTACGTCGCGACTCGCGAGAGCAAAGTCCCGACTCGCGACTTTAACAGAGCCTCCGACCAGCTGCGCGACCCCACGACCCGTCAGACTCGCGACTCGCGAGTTGACTCGCGACTCGCGACCTGTTCGACTCTGTTTTTTTTTTCTCCGTTTTTACTCGTTTTAGCTCCGTTTTTCGCGCACTATATATCAAAACGATCCTTAGACTCGTGGGAACAATCCCCAATATCGTTCCTTTCAATTTTTCTCTCCAAAAACTCAATATTGTTAGGATAAATTTCTCCGCTTTTCTTTTTTTTCTCTCATGCTTGGATTGTTGGACACAAAGTTATTTGGATTGAAATCTTGCAACTCTTAATCCGATTGTAAGTTTTTCAATTCTGTTTTATTATTGTTGATTGGTTTTATGTTCTTAATTCCGGTTAACATGAAATTGAATCTAAGCATGAGGTAATCCATTCACCTAGGGTTAGGGATTTTGATTCTTGTTTTGAATTATGTGGAATGTGTTTTGTTCAATCTATACGAGTTGTGTGAATTATATGGTTAGTTGATTGATCACCATTCTAACCTAGTTAATCGACGTTTAGAACCGAGAGGGGAGACTTCGGTCGATTTAGGCTCGTATAGAGTAGACATGTTCGTAAAAGTATTGTCTATGTGTTGCTTGTTTGAATGAATTTATCGTTTATGTTTGTGCTCTTGTTACGAAGAGTTATTGAGCATAGCCCTCTAGACGTTTAGGCTTGTTTAATCTCGTAACCGAACAAATAAGCGTTCAACATAGTTTAAGACTTGATGAGATTTTCCGACCCCTAGACCTTCTTCTTTTTCTCTAGAAATTTAATTGTTATTTCTTTAAATTGTTTTTCTAGTTCTAGATTGTTTTAGTTGATTCCCC